CGTCACTAACCAGTGTTTAAACTATAGGACCACTAGATTTATATCTTGCTGAATTGGCTCTCTTGCATGCAGTAAGTCAAATCTCAGCCCCTTTTTCAGTAGTTAGGGTTGCAGCGTATAGACCTCTGTCGGAGGTAAATCGTTTCGAATTCTGTGTTTTCTATCTTGCATTTAGATTTCTTCCAATTGAAGCTAATCTCTGTGAACTCTCTAAAAAGAATTTTCTACATCGACACACAATCACTTATTTTTTGAATAATTCAGTACCCAATACTTGATTCTATTTTGTTGCTATTTTTCTCTTGCTTAAGACATTTCTTATTTATGAATTTTAAGCCATTACATGTCTGTGAAGTTTAAGACATTTCTTGTTTATGAATTTTATGACATTTATTTTTATGAATATTAAGACATTTCTTTTATGAATTTTAAGACATTTATTTTATGAATATGAAGACATTTCTTGTTTATGAATTTTAAGACATTTGTTGTTTATGAATATTAAGTAGGTACCTCCACTATTTTGTCATAAATTTTCGATACCTAAAGTTTAAAATGAATTTTTAAAAATGAAAAAATCTTTCTTGAAGATTTCATTTTAAATTTAATTGAATGCTAAATGATTAAGTTTATTATTTCCATTTAGTAAAAATATTCTTCTGTGTAGAAATTAGATATAAATATATATATATATATATATATATATATATATATATATATATATATATATTGGAATGTCAAATTTAATTACGATTTCTTAAAATTTTCTTAAAAGCGGCCATTTTGTTAATGTTAAGAAATTTGTAAATAAAACAAATTTATCGATTTTAAAATCCTTCCAAAAATATATATATTTGTGACATGTTATTTAAGTAGAAAATTTAAAGTCAAATTAATCTGATTTGAAATGAATATTACTTACTTATAGCATAAAGAATTAATAGACAACCATTTATTAATGATTGGTACTGTTTACTGAGCCAATAATTGATGTACGAAGTGATGACACGAATTGACATAAATTTCCGAAAACTTATTTCAAATATGAATGAAATAAAGTTTTAAAATAATTTAAATTTATTCAACATTAGTTTTAAAATTAAATTAAACGTCTTTATAAAAATAACTGTCATTAAAATGAATAAATTGAAAAATTAAAAATAAATTAGGAACAAGAAAAATTTTTGCTTCTTCTTAAAAAAGTTTTTAAAAAATCTACTGAATTAAAATATGACCTACACTAATGTAAATACATAAAATGAAAATATTTAGCGAAATAGTAATTGAAAAAGTAAAACCTACTTTAAATTTTAAACTTTTAAAGCTGAAGGGATAACCTGTTGGTAACGAGCGAATTTCTCTGTAAAGGGATAAAACTATTAGATCACATGATTTTTCACAATAATGTCAATTGGAGCCTACCATAGCCGAAAAAGAGGAACGTATTAAAAAGTAAAAATTATTTTAAAAATAGAATATTGCAAGTACGTTTATTAATCTTTTGAGTTTTGGATTCGTAAATTTCGTTTCTACACTAATTACTATATCACGTCCAGGAAATTGCCCAATACAGAATTTTACACGATTTTCAAACTATTAAGAAATATCCTCATTAAATTTTTTTTTTAAAAAAAGGTGAAAAAATTCTTGTAAAAATTAATTATTTATCGGAAAAGTTTTATTTCTTCAAACAATAGTGTTCTTAATATAACTTATTTAAAAAAGCAATTAAAAGCTTTTCTAATTAATTAATGTCATAATTTTATTGCATTTATTCTTTTTCAGTCCAGAGCAGATTTTCAATTAGAATATTGCATATTTGAAAAAAAAATTACGTGATTTACATTCTCCAAAGAGTCCTACTTTTAACGAATAAAAAATTCAGCAACCAGAAAGGTATTTTGCAATATTTCATTAAATTAAGTAAGTTGGGATATCATATGTAAAAAAAAAAATTTAGCAAAATTTTCTAAAAATATATTCAAAAGTAATTTTATTCATTTGTGATTTTGTCCTGAAAATTTCATTAAAATCGGACAATTATTTGATTTTTACAAGAATTTCCGAATCAATGTGTTTTCAACGGAAAAAAGCGCAAAAAGTCAATATTATTATTACACCACTCCGATAACGTAAACAAAACAAGATTTTAACCAACATTTCGAACGAGTTAAAAAGGATTAAAAAATTTAAAAAATAATTAAAAAAAAATACTTTGGTCTTTCCCATTAATAATAACGTAAACATTTTGACGATAAAACTTTACTTTTATTAACTATGTCGCGTTTTTCATTACGCTATGCTGTTTTCCTGTGAAAAAGTGGAGGTACCTAATATTATGATATTTCTTATTTATGAATTTTAAGACATTTATTTTTATGCAGTTTATGACATTTCTTTATTATTTATATTAAATTCAGTAAGTTTGAATGAATGTTCTTAATTCTCGTTTTGTCGCTTTTAAATATTTGGTTGAGTCATATATTTTTTAAAAGCATCTTGCACGCTGCTTACTTCCCTTTTCTTACAATGCTGGGATCTAAATGCCAAGTTGGTTACCACATTTAAGGCAGAAATTGCTAACTGAGCGGTTTAATAATAAAAGCCGTTCAGACTTGGTAGATTATTTCCGAGAACTGCTTCATTTTGCAACATACTCCTGAGAGAATGCTTTCTCGGTTGCAAAAATGTTAACCGCTTCAAGTCCAAAGTTAAACATTATCTATCCGATATATCCTCATAATTTGCACTTACTTCCTCTTCTTACGATCTATACAACATCATTCAGTAACCATCTACCTTGAGAGTCCCTTGAGTCTTGTAGTGAATAAAAAGAAAAGAAAAAAGACGTGCAATCTTATATCTATGCTAATGGATTAAACAAGATGTTCGATTTAAAATTCCACGGTGACAGAATACGGCAAGTAACTGATGAAGTCTAGAAGTTAAAACGGTCGAAACGTTGAGACTTTAAGTACCAAGATGAGTATCCGAATCTGAAGACATCTCAAAACTTCCGATAGCTTTAATTTTGATTGTTATAGACGCAACTTTTCAAGGAAGTACCCTTTGGTCATCTTCAGGGTTTCGTATATTGTTCTCATATCGATTATTTTATATTTTATTATAGATAACACGTTTCTGCTAAATATATTCTGTCTATATTCAGGTATACATCTGTTGGTCTCGACGTGATTATTACAGATGTCATTATAGACGTTTCTGCCAAATACCCTATGGTTGTCTTCAGAAGTCTATCTATTTGTTTCATTTTGAGTATTGTATATGATTTTCTAGACAGAACGTTTCAGCCACCTAACTTATGGCCATGATCAGCTGTCTATCTATTGTTTTCATCGCTTATTGTTTTAGATTATATTATAGGCTCGAGATTTCGGTCACGTTCATTCTGGAAATCGTGTGCTTATCTATTGTTCGTATTATGATTGATTTAGATCTTATTAACGAGATGACGTTTCGGGGAAGTACCCTCTGGTTCTCTTCAGGTGTGTATTATGTTTGACTAGATTTGGATATCTTATAATTATTTACCTGCTGCCCCACGCGGTAAGATATGGCACAAGGCCGAGTTTTAAAGTGGGGTATCCGAGCCCGTAGGCTCAAGCAAAAATTCCCTAGAGACCACGTAAAAAACGGAGTCAGTTTCCCGATACGAGACTCTGCCCTTCGGTAGAGCCTCGTCTGGGGGATACCCTTTGACATGTGCCAGGTATTTGGATATCTTATATGTTGATAATTATATATATTTTTGCCTCTGAGATAATGGATTTTGTTCGATAGGCATGCTCGATTTCGTTCTGTATTGCGAAACTACAGTGGTTAGGAAATTTCAAAACCATCTGATATCGGATTAAAATTCTCTAAGTTAATGTCGTTTGGTCAAGCAGTGAGAACAGCTAACTACTGATGCGTTCAAATCCTGGATCAGGTAGTAAAACAGTATAATCTGCTTAAAACAAAATTGACCGGCATCTTTTGAGTAATTTAGGAATTTTTAGGAGAACATAGGCTACAAGGAAACTGGTACTTAAAATAAGAAAAGAAACAAGACATGTGATGAGGAGAGAAAGTCTAGAGACTTTAACACCCACTTGACGAATTGAAGCCAGGGTAAAAGACCTATATAACATATTTGTGTGAATGGATTTCAGAACAAGGACAATATTAAAAGATCATCGAAAGACAGGATGATGTGGAGAGCCATATCCTGAAAGGTGTCTGCGTACAGAAACTGGTTTTCATCTTAGACTGTCACATGGTAACGAGTTCAATTCCTGTTAGCTTTTTTTTTCACCCGATTATAGATGTCTTTAATCTGCTATTTTTACCCATGACTTCACTATTTTATTTGCGTCAACAAAGTTCAAAGAATCTTCCATATTTTTTCTAACAAAATGAGCAGCTGTTTGGGAAACGTCCTGGAACATTTCGGTTAATTCTTTTACAGCCTCTTTGAAGTTGGTTCCTTGCTTGTTAACCATCTTAACAACACCATTCTGTTTTATTTTATTTTCTTCTCCGTTTTTTTTTACTGTTCTTCATAATGGTAGCAAATGCGTTTATGTATTTTTTCCTTGGCATCCTTGACAAAAATTAATACCTCTTTGCAATGACAAAACAATGTTTTTTCTCAATTCCTTTTAAATCCAGAATTACTCTTTCTTTCTTTCTTTCTTTTTTTTTCTTTCTTTCTTGCTTGCTTGCTTTATTTATTTATTTATTTATTTGATTCTTTAATTCCTTCTTTTTTTCTTTCTTTCTTTCTTTCTTTCTTTCTTTCTTTCTTTCTTTCTTTCGTTATTTATTTATTTATTTGATTCTTTATTTTTTCATTCTTTCTTCCTTTCTTTCTTTTTTTAATTCCTTCTTTCTTTCTTTATTTGATTCTTTAATTTTTCTTTCTTTCTTTCTTTCTTTCTCATTCCTGTTTTTCATCATGTTTTTCATATTTTCATCAAAGCCTTCATTTTGCTTTAGGCTTACGGCCATATCACGTTGAAATACCACTTCCAGTCCGATCACTGAAGTTAAACAACGTTGAGCCTTGTCAGTTCCTAGATGGGTACCCACTTGCGAATACCAGGTGATGTAAATCTGGATGTCCTGGTAAATCTCCAAGTGTTGTTAATCGGAGAGCGGAGTTCCAATTCCCGTTAGGTTCGTTATATTCACTTACGCGCAAATACCCTTGCGAAAAGTATGAATCCATCTCTTCTCCCTCCAGATATGGGTTAATTAGTAAGACTTCTATCACTAAATCATTATTATCTCCAAAGAATTCTTACAATCTAAAAAAATTTCCTTGTTTTAAATAATCTGCAAACGGTTGATAAAACTTTAAAAAAAAACAACCAATCAATTAATTTTCTTTTACAAAATTGTCATAATTTCTCATCTTATTCTTTCTCCTTCATTTACATCTTTTTTCTTCATTTTCTTTTTTATCGAGTTCTTTTTCATTCATTTCTTCATTTTTTAAGAATTTCTTGGTCTTCAATTTCTTTTTTTTTTTATTTCCGTCGTCTGCATTCAATTCTTTTTCTTTTTAGTCCTTTTTATTAATTTTTTTTTCGAATCTTTCGTCATTCCTTTTCTTCATTCATCATCTTCCTCATTTTCATTTTCTTCTCGTTCTTCGTTTTTCGCCTGCTTTTCAGTTTTCTTCTTCATTTTCAATATTTTTTTTTTTTTTTTCCTTCAATTTCATTTTCTTCTTCTTTTCCATCGTTTTAATTTTTCTTCTTTTCCTTCAATTTTATTTTTTACTCTTTTTCTTTCATTTTCATTTTTCTTCTTTTCCATCATTTTCATTTTTTCTTTTTTTCATCATTTTCATTTTCATTTTTCTTCTTTTTTTTACATCATTTCATATTTTCTTCTTTTCTTCAATTTCATTTTTTCTCCATCCTTTCCATCATTTTCATTTTTTTCTTCTTTCCATTCATTTTCATTTTTTCTTCTCCTTTTCCATCATTTTCATTTTCCTTCAATTTCATTTTCTTCTTTTCCATCGTTTTAATTTTTCTTCTTTTCCTTCACTTTCATTTTTACTCTTTTTCTTTCATTTTCATTTTTCTTCTTCTTTTCTTTCATTTTCATTTTTCCTTCTTTTCCATCATTTTCATTTTTCTTCTTCTTTTACATCACTTCATATTTTCTTCTTTTCCTTCAATTTCAGTTTTTGCTCCTTCTTTTCTTTCATTTTCATTTTTCTTTTTCTTTTCAATTTAATTTTTCTCCTTCCTTTCCTCCAATTTCATTTTTTTATTCTTTTTTCCATCATTTTCATTTTCTTTTTCTTTTCCATTATTTAACTTTTTCTTCTTTTCCTTCATTTTCATTTTCTTTCTTCTTCTTCTTCTTCTTCTTCTTCTTCTTCTTCTTCTTCTCCAGCCCTATTTTAATATTCTCTTTCATTTTCACTTTTTTTTCTCTTCATTCTTCTTCGTTTTCTTCATTTCTGTTTTCTTCTCCGATTTGAAATCTTCTGTTTCTTTTTCTTTTTCATTTCCGTCATTCTGATCTTTATTTCATTCCTCGCTTTCATTTTTATCTCTTTTACTTTCGATTTTTAACCTTCTTTTTTTCCTTCAACCGTTTTTATTTTCATCTTCATCCACATTCTCATATATTTTCTTAATTTTTTTGTCATCTTCAATTACAATATTTTGTCGTCTATTTTTTTCCTCATCTCCATTTATCGTTTTCTTTATTTTTTTTCTATTTTCCTTCGGGTTTTATCTTAAATAATCTTCTTCCAAGTCTTTTTTTGGTCTTTCCTTTTTGCTTCTTATTTTCCCTCGTTCATATTTTCATCTCCCCTTCCTTCTCCTTCTCCTTCACCATCACCGTTATTATCATAGTCTTCTTCGTCTTCTTTAGTTTCTTGTTTTTCCCTTTTCTTTTTTTTCTTCATCTTCTTCATCTTTTTCTTCTTCTACAATTCCTTCTTTTTTTACCTTCTTCTTCTTTTTGTTATTTTTCTTCTTTTACTTTTTCTTTTTATTCTTCAATTTCTTCTTCTTCGTCTTCTTCTTATTATTATTTCTTCTTCTTTTTCTCCTTTTTTTTCTTTTTCTCCTTCTTTTCCTTCATCTTTTTCTTCTTCTTCTTTGTCTTCTTTAGTTTCTTCTTTTTCCCTTTTCTTTTTTCTATCCATCTTTTTTACCTTCTTCTTCTTTTTGTTCTTCTTCTTCTTTTACTTTTTCTTCTTCTTCAATTTCTTCTTTTTCGTCTTATTATTTTCTTATTATTATTTTTTCTTCTTTTCCCCTTCTCCTTCTTCTTCATCTTTTTCTTCTTTTTTTCTTCTTCTCTTTCTTCTTCTTCTTCTTCAATTGCTTCTTATTCAGTTGGATCTTTTTCTTCTACAATTCCATCTTCTTTTACATTCTTTTTCTTTTTCTTCTTCTTCTTTTTCTCCTTTTTTATTCTTCTTCTTCATTTGCTTCCTGTTCAGTTGTATGTTTCTCCTTTCTTTGCTTCGTGAATTGGTTGAAGATTCGTCTCCAGCTGAGCTAGTCAAACTCTCTGCCTCCGGGCAGAGAGGTATCCAGACGAGGCTATGCCGAAGGGTAGAGTCTCGTCTGGTGGTGGTAGACAGCTACCCGACCCAGTTTTTTACGTGGTCTACTGGGAATTTTTACCCGAGCCTACGGACTCGGATACCCCACGTTAAATTCGGCCTTGTGCCACATCTGACCGCGTCTGGCGGTTGGCAAATATCCTTTTTCCTTTTTCTTTTCTGCTTTTTCTTCTTTCCACCTTCTTCATTTTTATTTTCTTCTTCTTCAGTTTAATCTTTTTCTTAATTTCAATCTTTTATAATTCCATCATTTGTCACCTTCTTCTTCGTCGTCGTCTTTTATTTTTCTTTTTAATTTCTTTTCAAATTTTCCTCTTTTCGAACAGATTCTTATCCTGTATGTTTTGGGGTCTGCCTCCCCACTTAGCCTAAATTGGTGTCAAATTAACGACTCAGCTGTTTTTATCTAACATACTTTGAATTTGGTTAACTCCGCCTATTGACAGTGCATCTTTGAATCATGACAGCCTCGCTAAAAATTCGCTTGACAGGTGTGACCTGCAGTCATTCACTTGATGATAAGATGGTTCCATGATTTCTGATGTTGGTCCAACGATCGCCCGAAAACGTTTCTTGTCAAATTATCAATGGCTCACGGCGCCGAAACATTTTTTAACAGTATCAACGGTTTGTTTGACAGCTGCATAAACTTCTAACCTAAGATAAGACAAGTGTCTAGAATTAGGTGATAATGTATCGAACTGTGTGCAATATAAATGCCAGTTTATTTCGTAGGGATTATCAACTTTTGCTTGCCAACAATATAACCGACCCTCCAAGTTTGATTTTCTTTTCTGATTATCATTGGAAATATTTCAATCTGCATATAAAAGTGTTATTTTGTCAAGAACGCCGGCATTAATTCCTGACCACAGAAAATCCCTTTCTTACTGATTTTGGATTCGTTTCTATGGTAATTGTTGTGATAGGATCCACCTAATTTGCATAGTGGATTACCGACCATATAAATATGGTTGGTACCGGGAAGAGAGGGTGGAATCAAGAGATTCAACCAGAGACTCTGCCCGGCTGCGACTTAGTCAACACATTCTCCAGGAACGGTCTTCCCAGGAATATACAAAAGACTATTTGTAAATATTGTGAACACTTTCTTGTTTCAATACATTTTGTTCTAAGTACAATTTGTGTTGCATTATTATTCCATGCATTAGTCAAGGTTCAACAGTAGTATCACTAACAATATATTTACAATATACATATAATAACGCCGGAGGCCTAGTGGTATAATGGGTAGCGGCGCGGATTGAGTAATCGAGATGCCGAGTTCGAATTCTATTCGAATCTATTACATTCACTTACGTGCTAATACACTTTGGAAATATATGAATCTATCTCTTCTCCACCCAGCTATGGGTAAATAGTAACGAAGTCTGGGATCTCTAGCCAAGGTTGGCAACCAAACTAAAAGAAGGAGAAATGCAAATATGAAACCGGAGTCCCTAAGAGATTTCGACGTCATGCAAAATTTCGTTCTGGCATTTCCAGTGAAACGAGGAGCAATACAAGAAAGATAAATGTTATGGTCCGGTTCCTTGTACCACGGGTGATAGTCCAAGGTAGAACCAATAAAGAAGAACTCGAATACGGATATGGAATAACACAGATATATTACAAACAGGAATATATACAGAGAAGTAGAAGTGTTAGTATGAACAATCAGGTTTAGTAGAGAGAACAATGTAGTCTCGACCAGTATCACTATTCCAATGTCTTGCAGTAATTGTCTGAACGCAACTCTGTTTTGGACTGCCTCTGACTCGACTCTTGACTCGACTTGAAACTACTGACTCCTTGCCTACTCCTGAGGCGCAGTATTTATTCAGTATGAAATAGTCCATTATTATTATTATTATGGGTAAGATGCCATAACAATAAAGATATTGAGAAAAAGAGAAGAAAAGCATGAAATAGTTTACGAAGAAGAGGAATGAATCAATAAATAGAGTAGGATAAATGAAAGAAAACGAAGCAGGAGGAGGAGAAGAAGAAGATGATGAAGGATAAGTTTCATAAACTATATGTTATAGGACCTTACCCATAATAACATAATGGACTATTCCATACGTAATAATAACTGCGCCTCAAGAGGAAGCAGGGAGTTCAGTCTGAAGTCGGGCGACCGGCTGATCGGCTGATCGGTTGAACTCTCTGCCTACGGGTGCGGAGGAACCCGAACGAGGCTACGCCGAAGGGCGGAGTTTCTTTCGGGGAGGTAAACCGACCCTGAACCCGTTTATACGGGTTCAATGGACATATTTTTGGCCGATCCCACGGGCTCGGAGATCCCACGGGCTCGGAGATCCCACGGGCTCGGAGATCCCACGTTAAACCGGCCTTGTGCCACATGATGCCCTCGTGGGGGTGGGGGTGACTAAATACCGTTCAGTCCGAAGTCTGGAGTGAAGTCCGTTAGGAGTCTGTCAGTCAGTCAGAGCGAGTCAGTCAGTCGAGTCAGAAGCAGTCCGAAACAGAATCGTGTTCAGACA